GTGTGTGTGTGTGTGTGTATCTGTCTAAAATATATTACTATATATATATATATATATATATATATATATATATATATTAAACAAAATACATGGAATTATCTCAAAACAAAAATTGAAAGAGAAATAAATGCATGGATATTTATTTATAATATATAAAGTTAATTTTTAACTTCAGTCAATTAGGCTCATTTATGTAATAGAATGTTTGTTTTTTAATATACTTTATTGATTTTTTATAGAGAGGAAAGGAGAGAGATAGAGAGTTAGAAACATCGATGAAAGAGAATCATTGATCAGCTGCCTCCTGCACAACCCTCTCTGGGGATGGGCCCACAACCAAGGTGCATGCCCTTGACCGAAATCGAACCTGGGACCCCTCAGTCTGCAGGCCGACGCTCTATCCACTGAGCCAAACCGGTTTTGGCTGTAATAGAATGTTTTAAAATAATATCTCCCACTGATTTAATGTTAGACTCACATTTATGTATTTAGTTAAATGTATTTCAAATAGAGATGGTAAAATATAATTCTCTAAGAATTGAAGGAACTGTCTACTCATCATTCATCTACTAATGGGCACTTGGGCTGTTTCTGGAACTTAGCTATTAGAAATTGCACTGCTATGAAAATAGGGATGCTTATATTTCTTCTGATTAATGTTTTGGGGTGTTTTTTTGTTGTTGTTGATATATTCCTACAAGTGGGATCACTAGGTCAAATGGCAGTTTCATTTTTATTTTTTTGAGGAAATTCCATATTGTTTATCATAGTATGGATTTCCTTATACTTTTTTTTGCATCAGTCTTTATTCCCAACTGCAGTACACTAGGATTCCCTTTTCTCTACATCCTCAACAACACTTGATGCTAGCCTTTCTGACAGATGTGAGGTGATACCTCATTGTCATGTTAATTTGCATCTCTGGTAATTAGTGACTTTAACTATTTTTTCATAAGTCTCTTGGCCATAAAAAAAAAATAGTGGTACATTTACATAATTGAATGCTATCCAATCATAAGAAAGAAGCATGGAGAAACCTGGAGAGTATTATGCTAAGTGAAATAAGCCAGTCAGAGAAAAACAAGTACCATGTGATCTCACTTAAATGTGGAATCTACTGAAAAAAATAAACTCATGAACAAAATGGTCTGGGGTATGAATACATGGGACAGACTGAATCTCATAGGGGTGGAGAGAGTTTAACCAAAGGACATATATGCACAATAGAGGCCTGGTACATGAAAATTCATGCACTGGAGCCAAGGGATCCTCAGCCTGACCTGCCCCCTCTCACACACCAGGAGCCCTCAGGGGTGAGAAGCGACCCAGCCATCAGGGTAAGGTGACGTCCCCATCACACCTCTGCTGCTGCCACTGCCAGCAGTGCAAACCATGGTCGGCCCTAGTTACCTACCCTGTTTCCCCGAAAATAAGACAGTGACTTATATTAATTTTTGCTCCCAAAGATGCGCTAGGTCTTATTTTCAGGGGATGTCTTATTTTTCCATAAAGAAGAATACGGTACACATTTATTGTTAAATGAAAATAAAGGAAATTTATTACCTGTATATGGTACGGTAGTACAGTAGTTGTCAACACAAACCAGACAAACTGTGAATCCTACAGTGTCAAGAATTTGCTCATTTATTCAATGACAATCATATCATCATCTTCTGGAACATCATCATAACAATCCAATTCCTGAATTTCCTGGTGAATTTCTTGTGACTCCATTTCTTTCAGAATCAGTGGACCAAATCTCTATGTTTAGCCTAGGGGGGGGTGCTTATTTTTGGGGGGAATGCCTTATATTTCACTCAGAAGGAAACCTGTAAGTAGGTCTTATTTTCGGAGGATGTCTTATTTTCATGGAAACACAGTAAGGCTCGGGCAGCCCGGGTTAGCCACCATCCAAGGCTTGCCTACATTTGAGTTGGCCTTGGGTGTTTGCTGGACTGAAGGGACTGGGATACTCCAGAGGCAGGTGTGCAGAGTGACCAGGCCAGCCTAGGGACAGGCCCAACCTTGCTATGTGCCTGCCACCTTGGCGGGACTGAGGGGACTGGGCACCACCATCTTGTGGGTGTGGCATTCAATTAGCATATCCCCTTCTTATTGGCTGTGGGTACTGCCATCTTTATGATGGCATGAGGGTTAATTAGCATATTCCTTCTTTTTTAGGTAGGTATGCAATATCCAAGGACACATAATAGTTCAATGAAGGTTTGGAAGCAGAGTAGAGGTCAATGGGGGAAAGGGGAACGTTTGTAATCCTTTCAACAATAAAGTTAATTTTTAAAGAAAGATGGAGAATTAATGGTATATTATATATAATCTTGGAAAATTTAAGTTTTGAATCATTTGTTCTTATTGAGACATCTCATAGAATAAGTATATATCTGAAACCCTAATAAAATTAGCTCATTTGACTAAAATCCCAAACTCCTATGACAGAAAGTGAATTATAGAATTAAGGCTTCTTTGGTTTGTCAAAAAAAAAAAATTACTCATGATTTTATCTAACATGCTGCTTCTCCTTTCTTTTCTGGGAAGTCCAGGTAATTTAACTTGAAAGACTTTATTTTTGAAAGAGATTGTGTTCACAGAAAAATTGAGCTGAAGTTACCGAGATTATTCCATTTGCCCCTTACCCTCACACAAGGGAAGACCTCCTCCCCCATTGTGGACATTCCACACTAGAGTTATATATTTGTTATGATTGATGACTGCATCGACACATCATTATCTGCCAAGGTCGATACCTTATATTAGGGTTCATTCTTGCTGTTGTATTTTCTGTAGGTTTGGACAAATATATCATGACATGTATTATTATTATAATCACTAATATTGTTAGTGTCTTCATATTTTGCTCTTTTAGAAATTTATATAACCTTTTTAAGTTGGTTTCTTTCATTTAATAATGTACATTTAAGCTCCCCCCATGTCTTTCCCTGATTGATAACTCATTTATTTTTATTAATGCAGAGCAGTGCATTGTCTAGATCTACCATAATTGATAACATTCACCTATTGAAGGAAATATTGTTTGCTTCCACATTTTGACAATCATGAACAAAGCCCATCTAAATACCCATCTGCAGGTTTTTGTGTTATCATGTTTTTGACTCATTTGGGTAAAGAGTGAGTTCACTTGATGGCTTATACACCTACTTTTGTAACAAATCACCCAACTGTCTTCCAAAGTATTTGTACTATTTTTTATTACCAATAGCAATAAATGAGAGTTAGTCATTTTATTTTTATCTGCTGGTAAGTCCTTTTTAAGTTGCTTTTGCAAGATTTTTCCTTCCTTTCTCTGCTCGTCTAGCACTCTGTATCCTTATGCTGACATGAATCATGTTCTTTCATGCTTTTGCCAGTTGAAACCCAAAGACCAAAGCATAGATACATCTCCATCACCTTGCAATTCTTCACTCAATAGCTTGAAAATTAACTGTTCCAGTATTTGTTCAATGAATAAAGAAAGTTCAAATTTGGTGTGTCAGACTGTCAAAGGGAGCATTATGTTTTGCAAATCTATATATAATCACAAGGTCTTTTACTAGGCTTGGAATCAAACAATTCACACTATTACCACTGGTAATATTTCTTTATTTGCTTCTTGGTGATATTTTTTTTTTGGATGGTTAAATACGTGGTTGATTCATGTTAAAGGAAACTGCATTTGAAGTTATTGATTCTTTGGCCCAGCTTTTCAGCTGGAAGAAACAAAGAGCTTGCTGTAATAAGTTCTGAACCTTCTAAAAACAATAACTAATGAGGTTTGTATGTACCTTTGACATTTCATTTTCAACCAGAGTGAAGGTCAGAAATGAAAGGGCACAAATATGCTTTCATACAGTAAATAAACAATGCTATTATTTGTCAAAGAAAATGGAATACTGCTAACTTGTTCATAGCTTCTTACTATCTAAAAGTGAGTTTGCTATGCCTAATTTTGGTAATTGAATTATATTGTCCTTGCATGTACTAGAATTCGGAATTTAAAAAGGGGATACACCTAGTTTATATGTCAAGGACTAATGTAAATTGTGCTTTTTGTTAATACTCTGGCATTGCATTATTTGAATGTTTATATTTAACTCTTAGATTGACTTATTATTTGTTGGCTGGTATTTATTTGATGTAACTTGTTATTATTCCATTAATTTGATTAACTTTCTTCTTAGATTGGACATTTTCTTAATATATATTCAATGTCCTCAACTCTCTCATATTTGGTATTTATAATAATATAAATTTATTATTAAAGAGAATATGTTAAAGAGTGATTTTGGAAAGTAACTGGCAGGATTATGAACAGTGAAAAATATACCCTTAAAAGCACAATACACAATGGGAATTTTAAGTGCTTTCTTTTTATACTATATATCAATACATAACAAGGGGTTGTTCTATTAAATTTGTACTAGATCAAGGCAATTTTAATGTTAAAAATAATTTAATATGTTGAAAAATATTATGAAATACACAAGCTTCAAATATCAAAACCCAGGTATAAATGATTACTTTATATTGTCATCTATTTAACACTAGAGGCCCAGTGCATGAAATTCGTGCACGTGGGGGAAAGTCCCCGGCCTGCACCCTTTCACAGTACGGGACTCCTGGAGGATGTCTGACTGATGGCTTAGGACCACTAACCTGTCAATCGGACATCCTTAGCACTGCCACGGAGGCAGGAAAGGCTCCCACCACTGCGCTGTGTTCGCCAGCCTTGAGCCCGGATTCCGGCTGAGCTGCGCTCCCTCAGTGGGAGTTCACTGAGCACCAGGGGGCAGCTCCTGCATTGAGTGTCTGCCCCCTGGTGGTCAGTGCGCATCATAGTGACTGGTCATTCCACCATTCGGTCATTTGCATATTAGCCTTTTATCATATAGGATATTTTTGAAGCAAAGTATTTCAACTTTTATGATTCATTCATTTAAAAAATTAACATGTAGTAAGTTCCTAATCTGAGATTTACTTCATTTCAGATGAACTTACAAATTCATCAGAAACCAGGTTGTCCTTGGAAGATCTCTTCAAGGATGACTTCGTACTTCATGATCCAGAAGCCCGATGGATCAATGGTATGTATGTGCCTTTTGTGTGTGATGTTTATTGAGCTCTATATAATTATAGTCTAAGCAAATAATGCTATTTGAAGTTAGTATTCAAATCAACATCATTCTTCCAAAGATTGCATATACTATTAATAAAGTATCTTGGCTCATGTGAGAAAACCAATTCCTAACATAGGTCATCAATAGAAATATCCTCCACACATTAGATCAATTGTTTGGTATTTATGGTTCCCTCATGGTCATTATTAGCCATTTCACATTAAATGTGTTACATCTCTAGCATTTTTCTAGATTATTCTTCTTGGTGTAAAGTATGGATTTTGAGAGACTTCATATGTATATGCTTCAAATGTGGCCAATAAATTAGTTTCTTTTTCTTCTTGGTGGCTTTTCTTTTTAATCCTAAGTGCTGCAAACTAGAGAGACTCTTTCCAAACTTGAAATGACTGAGAACTCATGTGGAAATGTATTGCACTTTGTCATTATCTGTCCTGGCAAAGAAACCACCTCAGTTTTCCTTAGTAATTTCAAATTTTATTTTCAAAGACTTTTAAAAGGCATTGAGATTTTTAAAGAAACAATCAAAAGTAAAATCACTGGTTCCATAGTTTCTCTTTTTGGAAGGTAATGGGGAAAGTGAATGGGTTTCCAGTCAGAAGAAATGTGTTGGCGAATAGAAAGTAAAGTTTTCATTCCTTGAATATTCCAATTTGCCTGACCATTCTAATCTCTGTAGTCAGATTGCAGTTCATCTTTGCCCTTCAACTTATTTAGACATATCTTTGCTTGTTTTCAAGGCATAGAGAAGATTATTTTATGGTAAATAAAATAAGCTTTGCCCTTTAGCTAATAATGATTATCTCACTCAGTGTCCTTTCTTTTCTAATATCCTAAGTAAGTGCTTGTATACCTGAAAATTAAATGGTAATTTATGGGAACAATAAAATGAAAGGAAGTTAATTCATTAAGGCAGAGACCAAATCATACTGTTTAGTGCACATGGATAAGTTTCTGGAGATCACCTGGCACTCAAGATGTGTCTTTGAATAAATTAATGCATTTCACTGAAGTTCTGTATTTTTCAAGAACTTAAGTTTCAATTGAAATCAGTTGGGAGATGAGTGTGTATCATGGTGATGGTATTATGCAGTGATTTTCAACCAGTGTGCTGCAAGAATTTTTAAAATATGCAGTACCTGACTATCCAGTCAGGGGCACTGAGCTCTTTTTCCTTAGATTATCAAATTTAAAGAATGGCAACAGCTAATACAACAATAGCTATCCTGGATACATTAATAAAAATATACCTATATACTTTTTGTGATATCAGCAAAAATATATTTTTTTTTGGTGTGCTGCAGAATTGTTTTAATTAGTTTATGATGAGAAAGCTTGAATTTTCTGCTATTATAAATTAAGATAATTTAATTAGTTTATTTGTATATTTTTATTTGAATCATTTACAAATTAAGGACTTGCCATATTCTTGTCTTTGCACCATGATTATTTCAGATGAGTACTATAACTAAAGGAAGCTAATAAAAATGAGGTATTTTACCATTACCAAACATTCTTCTAATACCCAGATCTCTCACAAATCATTCTCCTAATGTGCAAGTCATCTTTTTATTTGTTAACACTTATTTTCTATTAGAGAAGAGGACAACAACATTGTGAAAAAAATGTGTTATTAGATTGGAATTGCTAAATGACATTTTGTTTTAGTCACCAAGATTTTGGACAAGCGTTAGAAATTTGTGGTCTTTGACTTTGGAAAGCAAGCGAAAATCATGGGCCTTATCTCCCTTCTCAGGTTAACTTGGATTATTTAAATAGTCATTCACTCCTGTGACACTTTGATATTGAAATGCCAAAGGACTAGATGGATATTTAAGTAGTGAACTGCATGCTAAATTAAACCATTTTATTATTTAGGGCACACATTCTTACATTCCACTTTAACTTCACAAGATACCAAAATCATATATTTGGAGTTAATCATTTTAAACTTTAATAAAAAAATAATTTTATTCTTCACTATTGGTAAACTTAATCTTGAGAAACATCCAAGGACAAAGCTGCAGTGTTACTATTATATTCTAGCTAAAACATAAGCTATAATATTTATTTTAAAATTTGCGATAAAAACAACCCTTTAGCCCGGCTGATGTGGCTCAGGGGTTTAGTGTCAGCCTATGAACAGGTCACTGGTTCAATTCTTGGTCAGGGCACTTGCCTGAGTTGTAGGCTCAAGCCCCAATAGTGGGTGTGCGGGAGGCAGCAGATCAGTGATTCTCGCCCTCTTCCTTTCTCTCTGGAAGCAGTGATTCTCGCCCTCTTCCTTTCTCTCTAAAAATATTTTAGAAACAAACCTTTAAATGGGCTTAAATAGAACCTGAGCTCTCAGAGGCTATGTAAATACCACTGAAGAAATCCACTCGCTGCCAGGAGACTGTGTGCACTGCCCTGCTTTTCCAGTAAGAGAGTAGATTGTGTTTCTTCATTCCTCTTACTCCACCCAGATCACTCTCCTAGCAACCACTAGACACTTGGCCTATTTACTGGTTCCTCATGTGGCCAGGAAACACAATGGGAACTATATGAAAAGAACGTGTAACCTTGGCCTCATTATCAGATTGTATCTATATATAAAATTTGATTTTTTTTTTCTGTACTCTCATGAGGTATCTTGCCAGGCTCTCTTGATAAGTACATCTCCTGAAGAAGTCTAAGTTAAGCTCATTTAGAATCTTCATTTAGTCTTGGAGGTCACCACAGGTAGATGGGAGTGCAGCAATGTCATTTCTTATGCTGGTTCTCAAATAAAATAACTGCATGTCATTGCAGCCTTTGACGGCTACTCATGTTCATGGTTAGCTTAACATCTGCCTTCCCCCATGTCTGCTCATAAGCTTGAATCTACATTTTTATAGCATCTTTTTTGCTACTGGTGTCACCTTGAAACCTAGAAATCCATCTTCCTTAAAATTATTCATCTCCCCACATACATTTTTATTGAATTTATTGGGGTGACATTGGTTCACAAAACCATATAGATTCAAGTTTACAACTTAACAAAACTCCATCTGCACACAGCATCATGCGTCTAACACCCAAAGCAAAGTCATTGTCTGTCCCCATTTATCTTCCCTTTGCCCACTTCTACCTGCCCCCATCGACTGCATGTGTGTGCATGTGTTTGCTGCATCATTTTACATCCTTTCATCCAGCCCCCTGCCCCTTACTCTGACAGCTGTCAGTCTGTTCCCTGTATCTATGCCTGTTTCTATTTTGTCAGTTAATTTTGTTTATTAGATTCCACATATAAGTGAGATCATATGGTATTTGTGTTTCTCTTTCTGACTTATTTCACTTAGCATATATTCAAATTATTGTTTTATTTGTAAATTTAAATCATTTATAAGGAAATGTTTTTAAGATTCTAGTTTGTCTTAAAATGATAATATTTATAATAAACACCATGTACTAGTATAGGAAAGTATTACCCATAAAATTGAGTGTTAACATTTGAGAGAGAAAAGTTTTCAGAAAAATAATATTTTTATGTTTTAGACATATAGTGATTACTTCAAAGTATTTAAAAGGAGTTGGAAATAGAAAACAAACTTTAGGATAGGTAAACTTTCATATTGCAACCTACTTTGTGAAAAGAAGACTATATTTTGACTTTTAAAATTAGGAATTAAGCAAGAAAAGTATGTATATGCACACACATATACTTTTAGACACAGACCAAAGTGTGGTGATAGGCACAGGGCCAGAGGGTTGGGTAGGTGGAGGTGAGTGGGCAGGGCAAAGGAAGAGACAATGGGGATGCAAAGAGACTTTACTTGGGGCAATGGGCAAGGGATGCCATGTGCAGATGATGTTTGTTGAGTTATAACACTTGAAACATATGATTTTGTGAACGAATGCCACCCAATACATTCAATTAAAAATCAACTGAGAAAAATAAAATAAAATAAAATAAAAAATTCATTTTTAACTTATACTAAAGAGAGGGGAAAAAAAGAGTCTGAGTAAGAGAGATGAAAGCTGTGCTTAGAGTTAATTAACAAGAATTACTGAGATGCAGCTACAATACAGGGTTTTGTATATTTTAAGTGGAAATCTGTCACCATTTGAAAGGTTTGTAGTAAAATAAATGGTGTTCTCATAACTGTAATAAATTGTACAAAATTATGGTTGGTTTGCTTTTGTTGGCCCAGGACCTGAGTTTGTCAGAACAAATGTTGATTTAGTAGACACTTGACATTGACATTTATTTTTCCATCTATGTGTCCACCTATCTTTTATTCAACATGTGTTTATTGAACACAGCGAAAAGATTCTATATATGAGGATATAAAGATGAATAGATGCAGTCATTTCATTAAAGGGAATGATGAATATAAATGTTCTTCCCCCCATTGTGCACAGTATTTTTATGCTTATCTATGGGTTAAAGGAGTGAATTGGAAATCAAAGGCTGTGATGGCATAGGAAATAGACTTAAGTAGAGAGTTGCAAAAAAATATTGAATCAAGACTACAATGAGATTTGATTAACTTTCTTTTCTCCAGAATCAAAAACATGTCTCCATCTCCTTTATCTTTCTCTTCACTATGATGGAGGACACACACTTCCACATTTTGTTTATTGAACTTCTTTTTATTATATTTGCTTTTTCTTTATTTGATATAGACTTTACTTGTATACATTCATAGTCATGACTAATATAGGCATGGACCACTGACATGGTAAAAGGAAATATAATTATGGTACCTATAGAATTTAGAAACTTATTAGAAATAATAGACCTGAAATAGTTAGACAACAATTGGGTGACACATTTTTCAATTATCATTTTGTTTTTAATACATTGGAACTGTTATTGAGGAGTCTTTATGGAAGAAATGAATTCCGTTTCATCATGGTGGGCAGAGGAACTTAGCAGAAAAAAGGGGATATCATTGAAAGAAAAGGATGTATTAGGACAGAGTCAT